CTGTGTGTTTCAGCTGTGTGTGTGTGGACTGCTGGGTGTTGGCGTGTGGCTGTCGGTGTCTCAGGGCAGCTTCGCCACCCTGTCGCCCTCCTTTCCTTCACTCTCCGCCGCCAACCTCATCATTACCCTCGGTACTGTTGTAATGGTGACAGGTTTCCTGGGTTGCCTGGGTGCTATCAAGGAGAACAAGTGTCTGCTGCTGAGTGTGAGTACACTACAATACCCACAGTGCATCTGTATATCAGTTTGATTTCACTGTACTCTTCAGTTATGTTGTGTTCAGTAGCGTGGGAATTTGAAATGGAGCAATGGTAATGATCAAATTAGTGACTTAGTACCTGGGTTGTCTCAATGCGGGGTTGCATTTTCTTATTTAGGAAAAGCCAAGATCCATCAGCACAACCCCATGTGTACTTTTCATATTGTACAGCTAAAGACTCAAATGAAACATATTTTTAAGTAGGAAGTTCATGTTTACTATATTTTGCACTGTCATACATGCAACAGTGCACCCTCCATGTTTCTGCTTATTGTTACCTCCTGACAGTTTTTATGGTTTTTCAGTTCTTCATCGTTCTGTTGATCATCCTCTTGGCCGAACTTATCCTCCTCATCCTGTTCTTTGTCTACACAGACAAGGTAGGACTGTGCAAAGCAGCTTTCACATTCATGTATAGTCCCAGGTGAGTGTGTCTACGTATCCCCTGATCCACCTCTCTGACTGCCCAGGTGAGCGAAAACGCCAGACAGGACCTGAAGGAAGGGCTGGTGTTGTACAACACAGATGACAATGCAGGCCTGAGGGATGCATGGAACACCATACAGGGAGAGGTGTGTTTTACCCACACACCACATTCAAGTCTTGCACCCGGTCTTTATTGTATTTTGTTATTTCATGCCACATAAACATGTAAGCTTATTGCGTTCACAAAAGAGACTCATAACTTAAGATCTCATGATTACAAACTCTCATCATAATCACAATTGGATTGCTTCAGAACTTTGCTGAGAATCATCGGGTTTTTAAGATCCTTCGATATCAAAGTACATCAGACACAGTTGTCAGTACAGCCAGTGGCGCATAACAAAAGTGACCTGTTAACAGCTGATTCAGTATAGGCTAAAAATCAGCTCTAGTTGCAGCCCACACTTGGAAATGTTTGCTCACATAAGTGAAATTTAATAGCACCTTTTGAGATCCTGGTCTTGTAATTATGTGAAAACAAATGTCTTCACTCGTGTTAACATCAGGAGAAACAGGAAGTATAATGTTGCCATAGATAGAGTTGTGCTGCGGGCTGCAACTTGGGCCTAATTTTAAGTCTCGATTATGAGCTATGGACACATCATCAGCACGTCAAATAACTGACTGTGTGCTTGTTTGCCAGTGGAGGTGTTGTGGAGTGATGAGCCACAGTGACTGGTACAGTGCTCTGCATGACAACATGGTTCCTGACAGCTGCTGCCAGCAGGTTTACCCAGACTGTGGCCGCAATGCCTCCCACGCCTTCTGGACACAGGTGAGTTGTGAACTTTTCTTCTGCCAACACATCCTATAAAACATACCAAAGCCAACAATGAATGTGTATTCAGCACCCAACAGAATATAAATTGGTATTAATGAAAATGTAGAACATCGTCAATTATCCCTAGTTTTAAAGCTGGTTTCAAACAGTAATTCTTTAATTTAGTTGAATTAAATCAAAATTTGACTGACTTCAATTAAACTGAGTTAATTGAAACAAGTTGAGTTAAAATTGGATCATTTAATTACATTAAATTGAATTTAGTAAATTTGTTACATTTAACTGAGTCATTCATTTAATTACCTTCCATTAACAAAATTAGACAAATGTTATTTCAGCTAATTTAACGAATTTGTAATTGAATTTAGTAACAAATTCTATTGTAGAGTTAGAATTAGATTTAATCTTTATATGCAGGTAGAATTAGATTTAGTAAAGATTTAATATTTTTAATTTAATCATTTTAAATTGAATTACATTTAGTTCTGTCATGTAAAGTTAATTTATGGCTGAATAATATTAACTCAGTTTACTTTTACATTTACAAACTTAATTAAGTGATGCTACATTTAAAACAAATGTATTCAAATGTAATCTGAATATTTTGAGTGTAATTTAAAATGACACTAAATTCAAGTTTAACCCATTTCAAACCAGTGAACACAGGAGGAACAACCTTTCTTCTCAGGCTAAATTCCCATGAAAGCGACAGGAGCTGGAGTCTTTCGCCTTCTCTAACTGCTGCGGGTGTGTTTTTTCAGGGCTGCTACGAGAAGGTAGAGGAGTGGCTGGATGACAACAAACACCTTCTGGGAACCATCGCCATGTGTGTGTTGGTCATACAGGTGAGCAGCTGTTAATGCTGTGCTCACTTCAGTGGCTCTCAGATTCACCAAACAGCACTGGTTTTACTATGATTTCTCTTCTTGTCTCCCAGCTGCTTGGTATGGCCTTCTCCATGACACTTTACCAACAGATCCACCGAGCAGGGAAGAAGTTTGAAGCCTGAGGGTATCGACTGTTTCCTCACAGCTGTTAGCTTCACCTTTTGTTTATAGTCCCAATAAGCCAGTTATAGCCACTACAGCCTTATCTATGCACTCAGTTACTGATGGTGAAGAGCATTTCTATTAGTTTCACATACAGTAAAGCTTTTATCCCCTCTGTAGTTGGTGTTATATACAATTGATGATTAGAAAAAGTGACAAGGCTCTTTTGGTGGTTGAAAGGAGAAAGACAAACAACAGTTCCCCCCCCCCCCCCCAGCATACAAAAACCATTGTCTTATCCTTTGAAAGACATGCCTGTGGAATAATATATCAATCTGTTTAGATAAAACAAGCATTGTGTACTAATAACATGTTCAATAAAAGCAGAGCGCACTCTTCACAGCTGTGAAAACAGTTAATCGTGTTTCAGGTAACAGTACTAAGCCATTTCAGTGCTTCTGTTTCCAGCAGCTCTTTGATTAAAGGTGGACTTCGTTTTTCCTTTGCTTGCTGTATGTCCCTTAAAAGTGGGTATGGGGGCTCTATGACTCATGCTAATTTAATGGAAAAATCATGTTCAACGGTGTCAGGGGGCAACCGGTTAGCCTCCAAGAGCTCAGCATAAATGTGAGGTCCGAACAATTTCTCAAGCTGATCTCTGCAGCAGAAGGAAAGCAAATACAAGATATAGGGTACATCTCTGTTGAGGACTGTCATTTCCTTGTGTCAAAGGCCTCAAAGAAACATTGACATGAGACGTCCATCTGATGTGTCCAATCAGCAACTGATTTCAAATAAAGAAGCATGTCAGGTCACTGAAAAATTCCCTGAAGGATGCTCTGTTTCCTCGGGTTCTTATCTTATAAGAGTCATGAGATGTAACCATCACAGTTAAATCAGGACTGTCTATACTCAGGGGAACTTAATTATCCTTGTAGCCCCAAAAATAAAATTTTCCCCCTATAGAGAATATGGCTGACAAAGTCCTCTCATTTAAACAGACACAGGAGCCCAACAACACGCTGTCGTTTGACAGTGAAGGCTATGGGCATGAGCAGGGCCAGGCTCAAGTGAAGGCAGAAATCCTTTCAGATGAGAAGCTGTTACTAAAGGGGGTTTCTCCAAATACCAGGATAGTGGATTTAGTAGATCCCAGCTCTGGTCCTTGTTTTGCTGTACAGGATGAGGGGTTTGAATGTTCATCACTTGATAAAGGTGACAGTGAGAGACATCTGGAATGGCAAACAAACAACTCTGTTTCATCTAGCTTTTCCTCTGTCTTGAAAGATGAGATAAATGATAATGATGATGACTGGATTCATTCATACCTGTAACCATGTCAAGCCTGAAATTTGAGCCAGAAAATGCAGTTGGGGACAGCACAAATTTAGTTGTGCTAGAAGAGTACTACACAGGGAATGAATTCTAAACTAACGATGCCATTACTGGAGCACGATGAAGGAGTTGATAAGTGTGACAAACTCCCTGCTAACACAGAAACTGAGGTGTGATCTCTTTTAGAGATCAAAAGGGGGAATTGTGAGATATTAACTGTGTGAGACAT